CACGAGTCATCTTGCATAAAGTATATCTCAGTTATGTCATATTCATATCATAAGCATATTTTCATAAAGAACATGGAATGACATCACATACAACATTCAAATTCACTTCCACATATAATGTTTTACAACATAAAATAATTCCAATGATTACTCCAAAGTCTTTGCTGGCTCACAAAATCCAGGAAGCATGACTTCAGTGGTTAGACAGCTACAAAGGGTGATTGAAGAGGACCTGATGAAGATAGCTTGGCGTGAAACAGTGGTAGGAAAGAAATTCTGAGGAAAGCCAAGGAAGCAAAGGGTGGATTGCATCAAAGATGATTGTAAGCAGGTGGACCTTAGTGCTCCCCCAGACAGACAAAGATGGGTGGATGCTTGCATGATGACCTGACCTCAGATGATGGGATAAGGGGAAGAAGATTACTCCAGGGTCCTTACACTAACATTTATGCATGTATTTTTTCAACCCCATATGGGTTCATCAGGCAGGGTTTGAACCCACAACTTTCAGACCCACAGCACCAACCTCTTATACTTCCATTATAGGAGTAAGTAGTGGTGGGAAAACATACTGTAATTCTCTGCGTAGACCTGCTCATACACGGGGAGACAACACGCACTTTGCCACTGGGTTACACAAGTACTGGTGAGACAGCAATAGCTGGGCATCATGATTCATGGGTTCTGTTCCTGGTTCTGGGAGCAGATCGTGGTCTTAGAGGTTGTAGGCAGCACAGCCAAATGTAACAATGTTTCTGTTTAGGGCATATGGGGGCCTGAACCTAGCACCTGAAGATGTAAAAACATAAGCCTTTACCACTTGAACTAATGAACCAAATCACTTAGCATGGAAGTAGCAGCAGAGAAAAAAAACCTCTATAATGTGGCCTAATTGCTCAAGGATGAGACAAAGAACCACACTTGTTAGGGTGGGTTACACAGGTACCTAATTTAATGTACTCTTTCCAAAAGATAGTGTTGCAAAGTGGATAGGACTGTAATCAGAGATCTTAGGTCCCATTCCCAGCTTTGCCTGAAGTGACCTTATGCAAGCTCTCAGTTATTTTATCTGGGAAAGTGGTGAATGATAGTTACTCCCTCCTTCTCCCAAGGTATCAGACCTTGGCTCATAATACAAGTTGTGAGAGACAAAGAGCTGGGACTAGAACTCATGGTAACTGAACTTGCATCTTCCACTAGGCTAGGTATCTATTTAATGCACCTATATTGGCATTATTACGGTAGAATCTCAGTTTTTAATGTATTTATTCTCCCAACACCCCTGTGACATAAGGAAGTACTATTAATCACATTTTACAGATGGGAAACAAAGGCACAAGGGAGACTAAGTGACTTGCCCAAAATCGCTCAGGAAGTCTGTGGCAGATTAAATTCACTCTTCCAAGCGCCAGGCTACAGTCCTAAGTACTGGCTCATCCTCCTTTTCAGGGTATTGTATGCGGGAGTCTGTCTGTTTTGCTCCCAAAAATCATATGAAGACTGCAGATTTTCATATTATAATGACACTGCCTGCAGCAGTGGCCTATTATAATAGATTTGTGAAAGTCAGACCAACAGACACTAGACAGGATAACAAAAAAAGAAGCCCAAACTGTTAGTCTCCAAAGCACTGAATTGACCATGGAAGCAGGAGTCTCATCCCTAGCATTTGTCCCTCCAGGTAATTTTTATCATTACAGCAGTACCTGGAAGCCCCATCTTACATTGGGGCCTTATTCTGGTAGACACTGTAAGTGCACATTGTAAGAGACAATCCTTGCCCTGAAGATTTTACAGTCTAAACAGACCATAGGCAAACAGTGGGAGAAAATATTATTTTACCCCGTTTTGCAGGGGTTTTGAATTGAAGCACAAAGAAATTAAATGACTTGTTTAAGGTCACACCAGAAGTCTGTGGCAGAAAACGAATCGAACCCAGTCCCCATTACCTTAATCACAAGTTATTCTTCTTCTCTCAGGTCAGGTTTGAAGCATACTGGCAAGACACTGTGGGGGACTTTCTCTACCATTTCATGAGCCATATTGCTCTATAGATAAAGATGGTTTCATTCTACTGTACAGACAACAAGAATTAACCACAGATTTCAGCCCAGAACTTTAACACTAACATTTATTAAAAGAAAAACTTATTAACAGCAGCCTCCAACAGACTATTGCAGTAAGATATACATGCAAGACTACAGTACTTGAACTCAAGTACATTTTTCTTTTGAATGCACATGAAGGCAATTGCATTAGTAGAAGAGCCCATGTAATAAAAGTCTCCCCTTACAATCAATGGTTAAAACAGATTCTATTTTCTCCCGATTAACACAAATGTAGATTTTGAGAAAGATGGAACACTTGTTGATCTTTGGGTCTGAGAATGATAATCAAGGTTTAAAAAGTGTTCTGACATATTTAGTCATTCTACACCTATTTCAATATCAACAAAAGATACTGAAACCTCAGAGCCCCACTTCAACTATAGAATTAAAAATTACAGGTTACCTTTCACAAATATGAAAATGTGCTGCATTTTAAAAATGAATAAAACATTATTTTCTATAAAGAACAAACATGTATCCAAGTTATTTTGGAAATCCTCTCCTATCTGAATTAACAGAAGGGTGCACACCAAAAATGCATGCTCCAGAGTAATTTATTAACCATCAATGAAACTTCAACACTCTTCATCATTATGCAGACACTGATCCCAACAAATTTAATCCAATACATAAGAAATACTGTAAAGAATATTTGCAATAGTGATTAGAAGTACAGACAAAATAATTGAAGTTCTAAGAATCAACAGAAGTCGTACAGTCTTGGTCTAAAATATCCAGTAAGCCAGAGGCAATCTTTCACTCACAACCCATGAGACTTTCAGCACATGGACCAAAAGGGAAACAAGCTCTTTTGAAGCCTATGCCTCCTACTCCTCTCTCCCCGACATCCCAAAAAGGCCTTACAGCCAAAATCCTGTTTTTAGCTTTACTTATAACACTGGCAGAGGCAGATTTACCGTGAAACACAGGGGTGCCCTGGCATGGAGCCCTCCAACAACAGGAGGCCCCAGGGCCAGGCAGCTCTGGGGGCAGCTCCTGGGGCTCCGCACTCACTGGCAGCCAAGGTCCCCCCTCCCCCTGAGCGTGCTCTGTTCCCGCCCCTCCCACTCCCTCCCAGTGCTTCCCTCACCGCCAAACAGCTGTTTGCCCGCGCTCAGGTCGCTTCAGGAGGAGCGACATGCTCGAGGGAGGAGGCAGAGAAGAGGCAGCAGCGGGGCTTTGGGAAAGGGGGTGGAATCTGGGCAGGGCAGAGTAAAGGCGGGGCCCCCGCACTCCCCCTACACATACCCCTGCCGCTCCCTGCTGTGAGCCGCTCAGGGCAGGGGGCTGGGAGCATCCCCATGACCCCAGCCCACATCCCCAGCCTCCCCTGACTCCTGCACCCCCCCCACATCCCCACCCCCACCCTGAGCATCAAACGGGAGTCCTGCACACCACATTCCTACCTGCACCCCTCGCACGAAATGGGAGCTTCCCCAGGTAAGCGCTCCACACCCCAACCCTGAGACCCCTCCTGCATCCTAACTCCTGGCCAGACCCTGCACTCCAATCCCCAGCACCCCAATACCCAGCCTGCTCCTGCACTCCCAGCCCTGACTCCTCTACCCCCCTCACACACTCCCAGCCCTGACTCTGCCCCCCTTCACACCCCCTAGCCCCCTGCCCACCCTGACTCCTGCACACACACCCCACATCCCCACCTGCACCCCTCGCACTAAACGGGAGCTGCCCCCAAGTAAGCGCTCTACTCTCCAATCCCCTCCCCCAGCTCTGAGTCCCCTCCCGCACCCTAACTGCTGGCCAGACCCTGCACTCCAACCCCCAGTCTGCTCCTGAACCCTAACTTCCTCCCAGACCCTGCACCCCCAGCCCTGAGCCCCCCCACCCTAAGTCCTGGCCAGACCCTATACCCCAATGTTTTTTTACATTTTTTTTTTTAAAAGCACTCTTATCCAAAGCACTTTACAATAGTTAGCTAACTCTACAAACAATATTTGGAAAGATCACTAAGTGGTCTGCTGAGACCTCAACGATTTTCAAGTGGTCTGTGGAAAAATAAATTAGACTACAAAAACAATCAAGGTACCTCACTTTATTTTCATTTACTTCCTATTACTTATGATGAAGGAGGATGAAGAAGAAAAAAGAATGAGAACAGGTGCAGGGGGAGAGAACGTTCTCTTTTTTTGGCCCCAAGGAGGGGCCCCAAAATGAAGCTAAGCACAGGGCCCACTAACTCTAAATCCGCCACTGAACAGTGGATATTTCAACCATCTTATTTTATACGTTAGCCTCTGTCTCCCAGGTCAAGGATACCATGAACTGTGATTCAATAGCAATAAATTAGACAAAAAACACCTAATCAGAGCAAAAACACAATTAGTATGCATGTTGATGAAAATGCGAAGAAAATTATGGAAAATAATTTTTATTCTTTTGTGCCACTTCATTTATTCATGAATTTTTAAGCTTTTGGTACAGTAACTTCCAAATAACTATTTAGAAATCTGAAACTACTAGGAACAAAACAGTCTTTTCTTCTCAGAACAGCAGATATTTAGAAAGTATCTTACACGAACTCTGGGAAATACAGTTCTTCAAAATTCAGAAGTATAGAAGTAGACAGCAAAACATCCCAAGTTTCACAGGACATCGATGAAAGAAATATTCCCATATGCTTAAAGCTATTAAAAGCATAAAGATTATGTAATGAACAGCACAAAGCCTGGGAGAATTATTCCTTCTAAAAAAATGCAAAAAACAAAAAATTCCAACATGCCTTAATTGGGCAGACAAGACAAGACTTCCCCTATTTTCACATTGTATACCGTTTTTCCAAAATATGTGTTTATCACAGATCCCTGTATCAACAATTAAATTTGTCCTTTAGGGATGGAATAAGCTGCACAGTAGCATTTTTAAGATAATTACCTTTCTAATGAGAAGCTTTCCTTCTTTTCTCCCCTGAAAAGAGAACAAAAACTTGTATTTCAGTACATTTTCCTTTACTCAGACTAAATTTATAGCATTTCAGACAACACACTTGCATTAAACTTCAAGCAAAGAGGCACACCACTTTCTGTCTTTGTCTTTGAATATTTCCTTGCTTTTGACAGGCATTTTCACCCAAGGATCTGAAACTGAAATATCACTGGTTTCAGAGTACTATCACTGCTACCTACAACCACCAGTCACTATGTGCTCATTACCAGCCTAGGGAAGGTTCCTTATGTAATTGCGATTGTCTGCTCGTATTTTTCAGCTCAAATTAACCAGTTTGACTTCCCCACCCACTCCCACCCCATGGTTTGACAATTTTCCATTCTGAACTTGACCAGAAAGCCACCACCCACAATAAAATAATAATGTAAGTGAAGAAACTGTTTAAAGAGAAAGAGATACAGATTGATGGCTTGGTCATAAATACCCTGGGAACCAATAATTCCCAGACTGACTGGTGCTAATTGCAGGTGCTGTGCCTTGTTTGTACTTTTAACAGCAAGTCAGAAAGAATTTCAGAACTCCTTAAAAATATTGTTAAAGTGGGGCAGATATTTCGCAGTCCATCTCCAAAAGCCATGTAGGTCTCTATAACTGTATATATATTGGACCTCATGCTGTTATACCAATAAATTAAAAAACAGCAGGATCTTATTAAAGGGAAAAAGGCAAAATACCACATTTATTGTGAATACAGAAAGAATCACAGTAAGCAGTTAGTTATAGCTATAACATTCCATTCAATCTCCTATTTATTCATACATTCAGTCACACATATACACAAGCGCGCACACACACACAGGTTCTGCAAGGTTGTTATCATAGGTTTCAGAGGAACAGCCGTGTTAGTCTGTATTCGCAAAAAGAAAAGGAGTACTTGTGGCACCTTAGAGACTAACAATTGGAAGGTGCTGGATACAAATACCCAAAGCCAGCTGAAAATAGTGAAAGAGGCACTTCAGGAATACAAAAAGAGTGAAAAAGTTCACTCTGCAGATGCTGGAGGGACGCAGGTAAAGGGGGAGAAGGTCCTATGTACGGCACCCCCAGGCATAATTACGAAGAGAAAAGAGAGTAAAAAAAAGTTAACTCAGCAGAGGCTGGAGGGAATTAAGCAGCTAAACTTTGTGAAAATGTTAAAAAGGAAAAGTGTTAGAGAAAGAGGATTCTTGGTTTCTTTGCAACCATTCTGAAGGAAAAATGGGACCTTTTCCAAAGGAATGTCTGTAAATTAGCCAGGCAAAAATAAACTATGATTAAAATAATTTGACTGGACAATTTAGTCAAATTTGCTAAAAGAACATAAGGGGGTTCTATTGGAACTTAGCTGCCTCAAATGTATAAAGGGAATGTAAGATGTAAAAAAAACAACAACAACAACAGAGCAGTGTGGACCCTGTTAAGGAAAAGAAAATGTGTATGTATCTATGTGTGTGTGTGTAAATATGTAAAGTTCTAAGGACCAATTGGTTTTGTTTTTGTTTTAAATAATGCCACTAAAAATCCATTTGACTTTTTAATTCAAAGTTGCAAAACTGACAGACCTTTTTGCGAGACACAGGTAATGAGTGTTATTTGGCTTTGGGATTTGGCATTTAACCCTTAAAAGGTAACTCAATGCTTTACAAAATTTAAAATGTTTTTAAGTTGTGGCTGCAGCAGGGCAGTCAAAATCAGGAGAAAAAAAAATTCTGGATTCTTTTTGTTTGTTTGATTTTTGTTTGCTTGTTTTTGTAACAAAATAACAGATGAGAGTTGTAGTAAAAAAAAAATTAAAAAAAGACAGTGCCCCTCTGAAGCAACAGCAGGGGTGAGGTGCACAAAACAAAAAGAAGCAATGTTAGAAACACTGAGTCTTAAAATGGCTCTGAGTAATCAGACTGTCACTTTGATAAAGGTACATGAAAACTCTGTAAGCAAAAAAAAAGAAATAGTTACACCTTATGTAAAAATTGACACGGATAATGTTATAGAAGTTAAACTATGGAAGGAATGCGCATTTGCCCCAGAACATGTGCAGGGTATATTGTAGAAGGGGCAAAAGAAATGCAAACATACCATGCTACTTAATTAAAATGCTATTAGGGCTCCAAAGGGAGCCACAATAGGTTGGGTTTTCTTTTTCAGATTGCTGTGTGTTTTGGAAGCAGAAGTTAAAAGTAATCAAAACTCTGGTGAAAGCTGATTATGTCCCTTTTAAGATAGAGTCTCTGAGCTGCTGATGGCTTTAAATCCAAAAGCAGGAAGCGTCTGTGAAAATGCAAATTACCTAAACGATAAAGGAAGGAAAGAACTAGCAGCACAAGGAGCTGCAGATAAAGGACATACCTGGTCAGCAAACAAATTGTCTAAATAAAAGGCATGGTATAACAAGATAATTTTAATAAATTTAATGATAATAAGTACCCCTGTAACAACGTATAGTGTGTATGATTTTTGGAAAAACCCTTTAAGGTTGTATGGTGATGATGCTTTTCAGCTATTACCTGTAAATAAACTTAAAGCTTAACACAGCAGGAAAAACATTATAAACTTGGTCCGCTGTATAAGAAGGGAAACTGAGGTACCCCACCTCAGGGATTTAATGACTAAACAGTGGGATAATTTCCCCATAACCCTTAAAAGATAGAAGCCATTGAAACCTGGCCTGCCTATAGAACAAAAAGCAGGAAAATGTGGGGGCAATTCCTCCATTTTGCCTGCAATCAGCAAGGGTATTTGTAAAAGAAATATTTTAAGCAATAATCTGCCACCCCAAAAGGGGTAGAAACATGTTCTTTTTGTCTTTCAGAAAATCAGGAAAAGCTGATGCCAGCTGAAGAGCAACCCAATACCATGAATCTACTGTCACAATAGAAATTGTGTTTTATGTTCTATGTTTTGTTTTGTGTTGTTGTAAGCACTGTTGTGTGTTTTTAAAAAAGAAATACTGAAGACCTGCAGGTACTTAAAAATAAATTAAGCTCTCTGTCCCAGCTACAGGACAGCCTGATACAAAAACAAGTACATGCCAATGTAGAGTTGGTCCAAATTGGTCTTGGTAGCCTAAAAGGCCGATGGAATCTTTGGTAATGGCTTAATACTACCACATGGCTTATCCATAAGAAAAAAAAATTTAGAAATAGGAAACTACACAGCCATAGCTATGGGATGCACTGAAATGCAGTGAATCTAGCTACTTTGGAACACATCTTGCACTAGCTACTTTGGAACACAAAATGTTCTGGGTCATACTGGGAAATATTAAGGGTTTGATGCATTTGTTAAAACAAAGAAAGAGATCATTGTTTGACACTTATCAATATGAATGGATGCAATACATTTCCAGTATTGTAAAACCAGACTCGTTAATGGGAGACGTTGTCAAAATTGCACACCATCAGTCCCTGGAGGCAAAGGTATTGAAGGTTAACCCACTCCCCATATTACACATGGGATCCTTCTGGCTACCCTGGACCTCAAGCCAGTGGGCTGGGGAGGGAGGGAAGCTACTGGACACCAGAGGTTGTACCGAATGGACTCCTCAAAAGTGGGTGGGCCTGTTGCCACAGAACCTTGTAGTAAAGATACATCACTAGGATCATGTATGTGGCATGAATTGGAATCACAAACTCAAATTGCCTCACAGTACCTTCTCTTGAATAGGCTACACAGAAAGTGACACTGACGATTATAAATCTTAGTGTCAAAAGGGGGATTATGTTGGATCATATTAAAGAAGTTCTGTATTAAAATCACAAATGAGTTTGATTCCCCATAGTTTAAATTCCAGGGTATTACTAATTAAGAGGTCTCTTGGTTTTTGGTACTGTTTCTCTCCCTCTATGTGTGAAACTTGCAAGCTGCTAACTGCGTTAGTACATTCTAAGACAGAGTCTGTTCTCAAAGCAATTCACACAGAGAGAGACTCAAAGCAATACTCTGTAACAACAGAAACAGCACCCAGAGACTCCCTGCCCTTTTGTTGCATTAACAATTGTGATTAAAATAGAGATAGAGGATGTATGTGGATGGATGCTTGGTGTGGATAATAACTGAATGATCAGGGAGGTGCCAGCCTAAGAATCCAGTGTCCATCGGCTGAAGAAGGTGTCAAGTGGAAATAACCAGAGGACCCCCCCCCGGAGGGCAGACTGGAATCCACCCAACAGCCTCAAGAATGGGAGAACCAAAGAACAAGATAACATCTAGCAGCACGGAGCCGTCAGGAATGTGCTATCTGCTGATTGATTCAGCAACAGCATGATGAAGCAATTCCCATAGACTGGCATAGGAAGAAATTCCTATAAAAACAGACTCTATAAAGTGAGAACTTTGGGGTCTGATTCTGCAAACCAACTTCCAGGAGCATCAGATGAGCATCTGACAAGGCCCTGCTCCCTCCTCATGTCCAGGCCACCTGGCCAGTGGCTTGGCATGAGCAACTCTAAGGCTGGTAACTATGATAACAACCTTGCAGAACCTGTGTGTGTGTCTATGTGTGTGTATGAAAGAATGTGTGAATAAATATGAGATTGAATGGAATGTTATAGCTATAACTAACTGCTTACTATGATTCTTTCTGTATTCACAATAAATGTGGTATTTTGCCTTTTTCCCTTTAATAAGATCCTGCTGGTTTTTAATTTATTGGTATAACAATGCGGAATCACGACTCCTTAAAGGAATATTATACTTCCTGGGATGATGAAGATGAGGGGAACAAAGTGTCATGGGGAGATAAATCAAGTAGTTTAAACTGAAGTGCACTGATTTTAGATACCGAAGTAACTTTAGAAATCCCTAAAAATAGACAGATACATAGCCAATTAGAAATTAAGTGAAGGTAGATTTCTGGTGGTCAATAAAAAGAAGAAAAGAGAAAACGTGGATGACAATTGAAGATGTTCCCATCACACCTTTTTTTTTTTTTTTTTTAAGATAACCATTAAAAATGGATATTTGAGGAGACTGACATTTGATTGCAATGACTGATTCAAATGATTTGAAATCAATTTAACTCATGTATATTAGTTACTTTTGAAAAAGAACAGATCCTTCTACTCTGGAGAAGTTGCCTTTGATGTGATGCTGCTGTAACTCAAATGCCCACCATTCTATAATAAGTGCACTAAAAATGGAACACTATCATGACTTTTGGGAGAATGCAGCACTCTGTTGCTTATCTACTGACACTTATTTTTGATCATTTCACTTGCACAATAATTCTTTCATACATGACTCAGCCATTTGTGTCTACACTGTCACTGCAATTATAAAAGCCAGCACTTATTTTCTTATTTTTAATAGATTTTTTCCTTCTTTTTTTGTTCTAGCAATTTGATCTAAATTAAAAAAAAAGAGCAAAACAACTGTGATAACCAGTGCAATTAAAAAAAATTAGAAAGTATTACATGTATATCACTATGTCAATGGCTGTTTGCTGAATTGATAACCCTCTTCCTAAAAAATGCCTGGCACTGAAGATAAAGCACAAATTCTTGTGATGAAATAATGTTCTTCTATATTCCACCGATTTTTATTCTGTTTAGATGTTCACAATTTCATCATATACAATTCCATATCGAGACATTTAGATGTCAGCTTTGTACATAGCTAGGTTATGTTGTGCAATAAGTTGGCAATTGCAGGAACGCTCAACATTAGAAACAATAAAAGGCAATGAAATTTTAAAAAGCTTATGTGAAACCTCTGCCTTTCTCTCATTTTTAAATTATGCTGCTTTTTTGGGTAAGCACCATTTGTTTTTCATCTTTATATTGTGATTTGACATTTGAATGATATTATATTTATGCATCTCCTTGAGTGCTCTGGCACTAGGGGAGGAATGCTTTATAACATTATTATTTAGTATTTTTCATTATCTCCTCTTTATAGGAACATACATATTTGTAGACCATACAGAGCATTCAGATTGTGTTGGTTATCCATTTCAACATGTTTCAACACAATATTGTTCCTTAATCTGCAAATTTAGCTTCAAAAGATCTCAGTGTTGGCTGTTATCTCTATCATTCAGCAATAGCTCTGTTGATTTACACTCATAAATATAATATAAAACATAAAGCAGTAAAGTCCACCTGCAAAGGACAGAGAAGGGGAAAGACTGCAATGTTTTCACCATCACACAATGAAAAGCTTGTTAAGTGCTTGTAAAATAAACAACAGGGTCAATACTGGGTAATTTGATTTTTAAAATGCACCACTTCTTGCTGTTTACACTATTAATCAACTAAGAGTTGCAACATAGCATTTAAAGACTGTATTCACTAAATACCATACAAATGCACAAGGGTAACACCAATGAGAAAAGCAACTGATTCAGCTATTCCTATTGAAAGTGATTGCGCAAACAACAGAAATTATCAGATACTTCTCACATTCCAACAAGCAAAAAGCTCCAGACAATTACAAGGAACACAGCACAAACTTACCATGACTAAAGCGCCACTGAAGCTGAGGAATCAGTCTAAAACCTTTTCAATTTCACCTTCAATCTGCAAAGCTGTTGCAGAAGGTTTTTCATGGCAACTGTTACTAACGGTTTCTCTCTATCTAAGGCTAAGCGCCAGTACTCTGAATGCTACAGAATAGCATTCTTTCTGGTGCAAGCACCTTATTAGCAACTCTCATAAAAGAGCAACACTTGAGAGAGATTTTCTCCTACTCTAAGATATATAGAGCTCACTTAAGAAACCATGAACACAACCATCACCCACACACCAACAGGTTATTAGAGTGAGATGATAATGCTGATATAGCTGCCCCCACCAATGACGATTACAGAGAAATAATGAAGTGCACTTTAAGCTGTGCACGTTTCAGTCAGCCTGTCTTGACATCTGATGAAGTGCATCCGATGAAGTGAGCTGTAGCTCACGAAAGCTTATGCTCAAATAAATTGGTTAATCTCTAAGGTGCCACAATTACTCCTTTTCTTTCTCCTTACAATGTGTATGATAATCAAGTTGGGCCATTTCCAGCACAAATCCACGCTTTCTCACCCCCCCCACACACAAACCCACTCTCCTGCTGGTAATAGCTTATCTAAAGTGACCACTCTCCTTACAATGTGTATGATAATCAAGGTGGGCCATTTCCAGCACAAATCCAGGGTTTAACAAGAACATCTGAGGGGGGGGGGGGGGAGGAAAAAAAACAAGGGGAAATAGGTTACCTTGCATAATGACTTAGCCACTCCCAGTCTCTATTCAAGCCTAAGTTAATTGTATCCAATTTGCAAATGAATTCCAATTCAACAGTTTCTTGCTGGAGTCTGGATTTGAAGTTTTTTTGTTATAATATCGCAACTTTCATGTCTGTAATCGCGTGACCAGAGAGATTGAAGTGTTCTCCGACTGGTTTATGAATGTTAGAATTCTTGACATCTGATTTGTGTCCATTTATTCTTTTACGTAGAGACTGTCCAGTTTGACCAATGTACATGGCAGAGGGGCATTGCTGGCACATGATGGCATATATCACATTGGTGGATGTGCAGGTGAACGAGCCTCTGATAGTGCGGCTGATGTTATTAGGCCCTGTGATGGTGTCCCCTGAATAGATATGTGGGCACAGTTGGCAACGGGCTTTGTTGCAAGGATAGGTTCCTGGGTTAGTGGTTCTGTTGTGTGGTATGTGGTTGCTGGTGAGTATTTGCTTCAGGTTGGGGGGCTGTCTGTAGGCAAGGACTTGCCTGTCTCCCAAGATTTGTGAGAGTGTTGGGTCATCCTTCAGGATAGGTTGTAGATCCTTAATAATGCGTTGGGGGGGGGTTAGTTGGGGGCTGAAGGTGACGGCTCTCAGGGCCTCTCCTTCTGCCCCTCCACCGCCACGAACATGATACAGTTCTGTGGTGACCTAGAATCCTATTTTTGACGTCTCCGACTCAAGGAATATTTCCAACATAACTCTGAACAACATACTAATCCACAGAGAAATCCCTACCAACGCTACAAAAAGAAGGATTCTAAGTGGACCCCTCCTGAAGGTCGAAACAGCAGACTGGACTTCTACACAGAGTGCTTCCGCCGACGTGCATGGGCTGAAATTGTGGAAAAGCAGAATCACTTGCCCCATAACCTCAGCCGTGCAGAACACAATGCCATCCACAGCCTCAGAAACAACTCTGACATCATAATCAAAAAGGCTGACAAAGGAGGTGCTGTTGTCATCATGAATAGGTCGGAATATGAACAAGAGGCTGCTCGGCAGCTCTCCAACACCACTTTCTACAAGCCATTACCCTCTGATCCCACTGAGGGTTACCAAAAGAAACTACACCATTTGTTCAAGAAACTCCCTAAAAAAGCACAAGATCAAATCCGCACAGACACACCCCTGGAACTCCGACCTGGGATATTCTACCTACTACCCAAGATCCATAAACCTGGAAATCCTGGGAGCCCCATCATCTCAGGCATTGGCACCCTGACAGCAGGATTGTCTGGCTATGTAGACTCTCTCCTCAGGCCCTATGCTACCAGCACTCCCAGCTACCTTCGAGAGGCCACTGACTTCCTGAGGAAACTACAATCCATTGGTGATCTTCCTGAAAAACACCATCCTGGCCACTATGGATGTAGAAGCCCTCTACACCAACATTCCACATAAAGGTGGACTAAAAGCCGTCAAGAACACTATCCCTGATAATGTCACGGCTGAACTTTGTCCTTACCCATAACTATTTTACATTTGGGGACAATGTATACCTTCAGATCAGCGGCACTGCTATGAGTACCCGCATGGCCCCACAGTATGCCAACATTTTTATGGCTAACTTAGAACAACGCTTCCTCAGCTCTCGTCCCCTAATGCCCCTACTCCACTTGCGCTATATTGACGACATCTTCATCATCTGGACCCATGGAAAAGAAGCCCTTGAGGAATTCCACCATGATTTCAACGATTTCCATCCCACCATCAACCTCAGCCTGGTCCAATCCGCACAAGAGATCCACTTCCTGGACACTACAGTGCTAATAAACGATGGTCATATAAACACCACCCTATACCGGAAACCTACTGACCGCTATTCCTACCTACATGCCTCCAGCTTTCACCCTGACCACACCACACGATCCATCGTCTACAGCCAAGCTCTGCGATACAACCGCATTTGCTCCAACCCCTCAGACAGAGACAAACACCTACAAGATCTCTATCTAGCATTCTTACAACTACAAAAATACCCACCTGCAGAAGTGAAGAAACAGATTGATAGAGCCAGAAGAGTTCCCAGAAGTCACCTACTACAGGACAGGCCCAACAAAGAAAATAACAGAACGCCACTAGCTGTCACCTTCAGCCCCCAACTAACCCCCCCCAACGCATTATTAAGGATCTACAACCTATCCTGAAGGATGACCCAACACTCTCACAAATCTTGGGAGACAGGCCAGTCCTTGCCTACACACAGCCCCCCAAACTGAAGCAAATACTCACCAGCAACCACATACCACACAACAGAACCACTAACCCAGAAACCTATCCTTGCAACAAAGCCTGTTGCCAACTGTGCCCACATATCTATTCAGGAGACACCATCACAGGGCCTAATAACATCAGCCACACTATCAGAGGCTCGTTCACCTGCACATCCACCAATGTGATATATGCCATCATGTGCCAGCAATGCCCCTCTGCCATGTACATTGGTCAAACTGGACAGTCTCTACGTAAAAGAATAAATGGACACAAATCAGATGTCAAGAATTCTAACATTCATAAACCAGTCGGAGAACACTTCAATCTCTCTGGTCACGCGATTACAGACATGAAAGTTGCGATATTACAACAAAAAAACTTCAAATCCAGACTCCAGCAAGAAACTGTTGAATTGGAATTCATTTGCAAATTGGATACAATTAACTTAGGCTTGAATAGAGACTGGGAGTGGCTAAGTCATTATGCAAGGTAACCTATTTCCCCTTGTTTTTTCCTACCCCTCCCGCCTCCTCCCCCCAGACGTTCTTGTTAAACCCTGGATTTGTGCTGGAAATGGCCCACCTTGATTATCATACACATTGTAAGGAGAGTGGTCACTTTAGATAAGCTATTACCAGCAGGAGAGTGGGGTGGGAGGAGGTATTTTTTCATGCTTTATGTGTATAAAAAGATCTTTTACACTTTGCACAGTATGCATCCTATGAAGTGAGCTGTAGCTCACGAAAGCTTATGCTCAAATAAATTGGTTAGTCTCTAAGGTGCCACAAGTACTCCTTTTCTTTTTGCGAATACAGACTAACACGGCTGTTACTCTGAAAACAGAAGCTGTTAAGTAAACTTATCTTCTCCATGGATCATTCTAGGCAGTGAGAGAGAGAGAGAGAGTCACGCTCACTAGACATACTTTCAGACTTCAAACACACACAGGGCACATTGTGCAATCTTAAGCAGTACTATCCATCCTAGAAAATGAGGGGAGGAGTGGAAAGAGAATCAGTGAGAAGTTTGGCTTCAAAAATGGATAGCACAATACATTACAACAACTAATCCTTTAATGGAAGGCTCCTGCATAAACACATTCTCACTATATTTCTAAGTTTGTCTCTCTTAACATGATATTATTTGAAGATTTATTTTTATCCAGTCTTTAAAACATCCTCTAAATTAAAGACTGTTAAACAATTGTGGTATATTCACTATAGCCTTGCATGGCCAGACACCTGAGCCTGCATAGAGATGCCAGTGATTTCAACGGGGCTCCGTGTGGGCTCAAGGGTGAGCTTGCAATACATTCACTGAATGACTGGGGTCTAATCCAAATGGGATATTAGGTGGGAGGGAGGCCAAATTAGCCTAAAGAGAACATATTGGGGGTAAAGCTAATTTAATTATAAAAGGCACATTATCAACTTGAAATCTAGGCAGTTTTTAAAAACAAGATAATATTAGTTTCAAATATTACATGTCCTTAAATCTACTTTACAATTTTTGTTAACATTTTCCAATTTTTAAAAATTGTTTTTAAATCCCTTGTTGCTGTGCTTAAAAAAAAAACTCACAAACAGAAGAAACTGATTGACTCACGCAATAAATACATTGAAAAATATTTTCCCTCTAATCTCTTTCAGTTATATAGATTGTAGGAGTTAAACAACAATTGGAAAACAAGTTTTAGACAAAAGCATGTTTTTTAAGCTGATGTCCTGTTAAAAAGTGTCTGCATTTGTTCATAAAAATGTATTATCTGTAGAAAGACCCCATTTTCTACACTTTCATTTGCAAACTTTATGGAGATGTATTCCAGATTGTATGAAGATTTTCCTGATAACATGAGATATTGTGCTCAATAGACTCCAGAAAAGTATATATAAAGACACACACACACATGCATTCACCCCCACCCACCCACCCTATTTTGGTTGCAGTTTAGTATCCTCCTCTGCCCCCAATCCTACAATGAGTTCCCTGTGTATTGACCCCAGGACTGCATGGAACCACACGTAGGCAGAAATGCTCCTCAAGCACAACACATTTTAGAATGAAGACCATGTTATTTTAAACTGCCTAGCTCCTGACTTTTAAAAGATATGATACAAGATTATTTATGTCCAACAGAATCCATCACTGATTATTTTTATATGCAACTCCTCCAAAACTATGAAATAATCCAGATATGCTTAATTTTAAACACCTAGAGATTGGCGTTTATTCTGCAAATTTTGGGCTAGTCACTTCATTTTCCAGAATAGCATGACTATTAGTTAAGACCCTGATT